GATTCACCTTTTGCATATAAAATTTGCTAAATATGGGAAAATAAATTAATGGGCTGTAAATGGATTTTCCCAGCCAGTTGTTGTTACTTCCTGGCCCCCCACCTCCAGAATCCACAACTCTCCCCTCTTCCTACATATACAAATTAGTCCAAAGCACTTGTTCAGAGACCAGCCACCATCTGTTGCCTGCAGGCAAGTCTAAATGTAACTCTAGCCAGTTTTTTTTTAATTTGTTTTGGGTAGAGTTAGTATGGTTAGAACATCTGTCAGATTATTTCTATACTTGCCCCTACTGGGAGGCTTCAGCTTCACTATTTCCATTGTTACCATTAGAGAAAGTTAGAAAATCTTAAATACGAATCAAGGGGAACTCTTCCAATGGAAATGCTTGTTACTGTTAGTTGTGTCAAAAGATGGCCATACAATGTTCCAGTTTTGGACCGTTCCTAATGAACTGGACAAAATTTGCTTAGCGGGCAGCCCCGTTGGCTCCCTTCCCACCCAACATCCTTCTGTTGGAAATTGTTGGCCCAACAGTGCTGTATCCAGTCAGATGGCTTCAGAGACTTTTAGAGCCACACAGCGAACAATCACTAAATCAAGATGCATTAAGCTGGCCAAGAACACTAAGTTGCAGTTGGATGTATATGTACGGTCTGTCAAACCCCTGCAGTCATTCATGTTTAGTTTTTTTGGAGCAGGACAGGCAGGAAAACTAGAGCGATGTGGCAAGGCTTCCTGACCTATCCAATCACTAATCATCCTGATGGTCCTCACCTGGCGGTGTCTATGGGAGTCGCATTAATGTCAGATTACTACCCAATTTGTCCAAAAAATAGAAGCCATGAATTTCACTGAAAAAGATATGAAAGTTACAGGAACTTTTCAGGACTGAGTAAAGTCAGAACACCTGATGGCCTTAGCCAGTGGTGTCTGTGGGTGTCCCTAGATATCCGATTATCGCTCAGTTTAAAAAATGGTGCCTGTCCTCTAGGATTGATACAATAATTGCTGTTTTTTGATTGGTTACCTTTTGGTTAGGGCTTGTCATTACAGAGCCATGAGTTTCTCTGCTAAAGATGTAAAAGTTTCAGGGACTGAACCAGAGTGAAGTCAGAACTCCTGCTTTGAATACTTGTTTTTGGGTCAGAGACTCAAAGTATTGAAGATATTGGATCAACACGACAGCCACACAGTGCTTTCAGAATGAGGGATCAGTAATGGCTGTCTGTGTGTTTTCATCAGTACATTTACTTTACTTTAAGAGGCGGTTCACATATATGCAAAATTTAGATGGGTTTTGAACCGCATTCGATTTACATGACGTGAAAAAACATTGGTTTCTATTGTGCCTGTTCACATATATGCGTTGCAACCAGAGTGTGGATTCAGTGCGATTCAAAAATTCTGTATTTGGATTCACACATATATGGTGCGAATTGAAGCTCTGTTTTTACAGCTAATTGACAAAGTAGTTGCTTAGCAGTTCAGGTCAGGTTCAGGATAGATTTAGCTTCAGATGAGGTCAGGATTTTATCCTGTTCACAACTGATGACATGTGCGATTCAGAAGCGTTCCCATAGAAGTCAATGAGCCTGAACTCCCACCTACTGCTCAGACAACTGAACTATTACAGAACTGAAAGAACCATCAAAGTGATTCAGTAGCACAATGAAATATATATGTGCATATAAATAAATATATTAGTGATCATTAAAATGTGAAAAACTGTCCATAAAAAAATCTTTTCCACCAAATGAATCTTCAATCCAAAGAATAGGGCCACCTCTTTGAGCTACTGACATCAGGAATGGTTGGATAGAAAATAGCCAGTGGAACCACAATTTGAAAAGAGCACAAACAGGCCTAAATGGACCACTAATCCTGAAGGAGAGAGATTAAGGAGAAGGAGAGTGTTATCCATGTTGCTATAAGTTCCTCATTATTAGAAATGTATTAACCTATGAAATGGTGCCAGCTGATCATGGCTATTGGAGGATGAGCAGAGTGCGTTAATATCCATTTTGTCTGATCTCGTTCCCATTTGGATCCACTTTATAAGCGATTTTAGCCAACCATGAGAATTTAGGTGAGTGCCAACCATGAGAAATGGAGATTCTAGACTCCACATTTTAATGATCACTAATTTATTTATTTATATGCACATATATATTTCATTGAGACTGATATTTGAAGGTTTTTTTTTTGTTGATTATATTTATTTGTATAGAAGTGGCACATTTACTTGATTTAGATTTCCACGGTATATAAATTCTTATTATTTATAAACAATATAGGGTCTGGGATTAAAAATCCCATTTCAGTCTTTGCACACCAATCATCCTGGAAAATGCAGTTCAAATGAGGTTTTGTTGGTAAGGTTATGCACCAAGAATTCACAAACAAGAAACTGGGGGATTGGGGAAATAATGGCATGCAATGCCAAGCTGCGGGTTCTAAAATGAGCTGGAGAAAGTACACAGAAGGAAAGGCAACCAAACTGACAAGAGGCATGGAGGAGCTCAGCTATGAGGAAAGATTAGAGGAACTGAATTTATTCTCTCTTGAGAAGAGGAGCTTAAGGGGGGACATGATCAACATGTATAAATACATCAGTGGTTCATATAGTGAACTCGGTGTAGAGTTATTCACCCTGAGGTCATCACAGAGGACAAGGGGGCACTCTTTACGTCTGGAGGAAAAGAAATTTAATCTCCAAACACAGAAAGGTTTCTTCACAGTGAGAGCTGTGAAAATGTGGAATAGACTCCCTCAAGAGTTGGTTCTGGCCAGCTCAGTGGATTTCTTCAAAAAAGGCCTGGATTCTTTTCTAGATACACAGAATATAACTGGATACTAACATTTATAGGTAAAGTTGATCCAGGGAATATCTGATTGCCTCTCGGGGGATCAGGAAGGAATTTTTTTCCCAGCAGGAGCAAATTGGATCATGCTTTGCTGGGTTTTTTGCCTTCCTCTGAACAACTGTGGGTATAGGATTATAGCTTTTTTTTTTTTTTTTTTTTTCTTTTCTTTTCTATGGTTGAACTGGATGGACTTTTGTCTTTTTTCAGCCAGACTAACTATGTAACTGAACCTACTTTTAGCTTTTTCTGGCACTAACAGCTGAACACCTCACACCTTTGTTATGAAGAGAAGGGAACAGTTCTGTAGTCCAGCAAGGGATAACTCAGGCAGGGCTGACAATATGGTTTAGGATTTTAGTGCAGCAGAGTCACTGTGTTGTCAGCTACAACAGGAAGTTAGGTGCTCACTGGACTTCTGGCATTTCAGCAGGTATATTTCTGTACTTGCAGTGTTTTTAAAGAGACAAACATGGGTAAGTATGCATGATTTCCTGAGTTCCATATATTTTTGTATTTTATTTTACCCAGACATCCCAGACACTTTAATTGTGCATGTTATTAGCTTGCCCAGAGTAATTGTGTGTCATATGGCATTTTACAAATGCTATATGTTTGTGTGACTCTTCATGTAAGCTCAGACAGACTTGATAATGTTGAGATCAGGGCTCTGTGGGGGGTACACCATCGCTCCCGGGACTCCTTGTTGTTGTTTACTCTGAAGATATATCTTAGTCCCCATCGACATGGGGCAGGCTCCATTGGAGTCTGTTTGCTCAGTGGGGGATCTTTCCACTGATCCCTGCTGAACAAGCGGATGGCTGGTCCGTGTCCGCTCCACTTATGCAGAGCGGACACAGTGCAATCTCCTCTATGGGTAGTCGGATGTAAATGAACCATCTGTCCAATTACACCCGACTGCCATCCAATCTGATCCATTAGACCAGGCATCACTAAATGGCGGACCGCGGTCCAGATGCAGACCTAGCCACTATCTCATCCGGACTCGATCACGCCATTTAGGAGCTGCTCCTTTCCCCCATCCTCCACCTCTGTTATAACAGCAGAGCTGATAGCAGGAGATAGAACATTTCTGGAGCGAGTGTGGAATAACAACACCGTATTGAACAGAGCACGGGAGCTGTCATAACATTTCTGGATCGGATGTGGGAAGCAAAGCACAGCATTGAATAGAGCACAGGAGCTTCTGGGGTACTTTTTAAGTTAACCAGCGGCTGATTGGAAGCAGAGTGGTCCTAGCAGCCAATCACTTGTTGATTAATAAAAGAAAGTTAGCCCCATCAGGTCCTGCACTCTATTCAATGCTGTGCTAACAGCGGTGGAAGATGGGGGGGGTTTGGAGAAGTGTCTCTGTTCACTGATGTGCTGTGCTTTCCACACCTGATCCAGAAATGCTCTGCCTCCGATTGAGAGTGAAGGGGGACCGGGGGCACTACTCTGGCTGTGTGTGAGATGTAAAGGGGGGGGAAGCAAAATGTGAAGAGGAACAGTGCTGTGTGCATGTGGTGGTGGTGGGGTGATGTAAAGGGAAGGCAGTGTTGTGGGGGGATATGAAGGGGGCACAGTTCTGCTGGGGGTTATGTGAAGGGGTAGAGGACAGCACTGTGGGGGGAGAGATGTGAAGGGGCAGAGGTCAGTAGTGTGGGTTGGGACAAATGAAAAGTAAAAGCTTGTGAGCTGCTATGTGAAAGGTAATTAATACTAAGTGCTAATTGTGAATCGTCTGCACCTAACACATACTCATACTAGTGTGCCAACCAATGATATTTAACAAAAATGTGCCGCGCTTCACTAAGAATGCTCAAAATAAATAATATATAATGGGTGCAACCAGGTGCTGATATAGATATCAGGTGACAAAAATAGTGTGAACCAATATCCATTTTCAAATCCAATATGCATATACAAGTTATGAACACAAGACAAAATATCAAAAATAATGTCCATGTCCACATCAAAAGATCTAATAAATGAAAATTATATTAAAAAAAGTCTATAAATATGTGCTTCTTCAAGTGTGTGTGTGTCACTCATTTGGACACATGAATAGAGAGTGAGAATTTAATTTAATAATTTTCTTTTCTTTACATCTTTAGTTGAAAGTCGAACGCAATCATGGGGAAGCAGAACAGTAAGCTACGTCCTGAGGTCATGCAGGATTTACTAGAAAGCACGGACTTTACGGAGCATGAGATCCAGGAGTGGTACAAAGGCTTCTTGAGAGACTGTCCTAGCGGGCATTTAACAATGGAGGAGTTTAAAAAGATATATGGGAATTTTTTCCCTTACGGGGACGCTTCCAAGTTCGCAGAACATGTATTCCGCACTTTTGATGCTAATGGAGATGGGACAATTGACTTTAGAGAATTTATTATAGCATTGAGCGTAACATCCCGGGGAAAGCTGGAGCAGAAGCTGAAGTGGGCATTCAGTATGTATGATCTGGATGGCAATGGTTATATCAGCAAAGCGGAGATGCTGGAAATAGTACAGGTAAGTGGCCCAAGTGACAGTGTGACTTTGTTGTTGGATTGGAGAAGTAGTTTGTGTAGAAAGTGGTTTGCTGTTTTATAAGATGACATATTATTTTCATTATTGTATAACTAAGCCCTTTGTCAGGAAAGCTGAACTCCAGCCTGTGTCTACTTCCCTTTGGGGTAATGATCCCTCTGTTTAGGGCTCTTAACCAGGGGTATCAGCACAAAATGATGGTGATAGCAGACCAAATTTCTCTAATTCATTTAAGAAAATAAACTGGTTACTTTGCATTACTGAACTTAAAATAAGTAGCGGAGTCAAAGTGCATCTATACCCAATCTTAGCAATTCACAAATGTTGTAGACACAAGCACAAGGTCAGAGAAGAGTACAGATTTTTTCAGAGAGCCAAAAACTCCATAGATTCAGCAAAAAAATTTTTCTGCACAGATGGTGTCGACATGGCCACCCATGGCTTGAATTTCAGCCAAGTCACAAGAATCCGCCGAAACGTGAGCTATGTATGGTGAGATTTAGTTTTTACATGCTTACTTAGACAGGTTAAGGTAGATATAAAGGGTGTGGAGTTGCACCAAATGTTCTATTTCCAGTGAACTACAAGTATTGGCAGTCCTTTGAACTGTGTTCATTTTTGTAAACATTAGAACGTGTTTCAATGTGCAAGTCTTAAGCAAATTACTGAGAGAGCTACTTATAGATATCAAATACTGTAGATACAGAAATCTTTCTTGGAATGTTGAGTGTTAACCCATTGTCCTAAAAAAAACCATGTCCTCTCCCTACGTAATATGCAAGACTGAGCTGTCAGTTTTCTATGGCCTGTCCCATCCAGTGCAGGAAACAGCCAGGCAATGTGGAGGCAGGAGAGGCGGGTGCCCTGCCTCTGTACATGTCTACCTTCTTGGACATGGAGGCAATGATAGATGAGTGACTGAAAATAATGATTTAGGTTAGACTGGACTGCATGCTTATCTGAAGAGATGGGTTTTGAGGATGCATATGAATGTGTAGAGGGTTGGAGAGTACTGATCAAAATGTGGGAGGTCATCCCAGAGAAGAAGAGAAACTCGTGAAGTACTGGATGCTGAAGATCAAGAAAGTGAGTAGAGGAGAAAGCCATGAGTAGCATAGAGGTTTCATTTGGGATCATTTCTAAAAGATGATGAGGAAATGTTTGCTTGAGCCAGACAGTAGAGCACATTTACTGGTTAGATTTAAAAGTTTGAATCGAATTCTCTGAGTATTTAATAATCAGCAGAAGGATTGACATAAAGGAGGAACATTGCAGCAGTGAGAAGAGAAGATGAATCTCACTTCACAGCTAAGACCCCTGTGTACATGGGGTTTGTTTTTTCAACATACAAGTCACCGTGAATGCATAAGAAACCCAAGAAATTCAGAAGTAGCTTGAAGCATCTCTCTAAAGTGCATCTAAAATTAAATAAACAGTAGTAGCTCACATGTTCTTAGATGTGGTGACTGCTTTGTTTTCTTTTTCTGGCTACCCCGTTCATTTTCACCTGGTGATCCTGTCAGCAACACAATTCCTGTCCTAGGGTGATAATGCTCACCCACTGTATTATATCTGTGGAGGAGCAGAATTGTCACCCCTGGACACGACCACACCTTAATAATATGAATGCATCTTAAGAATTTAGATCTACTTTAAAGGCTTCTACAAAGTTATTTGGTGCTTTTTAAATGTATGCTGGACACAATGGTTTTCAAACTAGCATTTGCAAGCCCAAATTTAAGGGAGGTTTATAACCCCTGTATGTTTTTTTTGTTTTCTTTTTTTGTTTTTTTGCCCCTCTTTGTCCCATTGAGGAGATTTACCCAGTTTATTTTTGTCAGTGAACAAAATAGAAAGTATATGAAGAGAAATCGATATCAAAACAATATTTGGTGTGACTACCCTTTAGCTTCAAACCAGCATCAATTCTTCTAGGTACACACAGAGCTTATGCAGTTTTTGAAGGAGCTCTGCAGGTAGGTTGTTCCAAACATCTTGGAAAACTAACCACAGATTACTTTGGATGAAGGCTTCCTCAGATCCTTCTGTCTCCATGTAATCCCAGACCGACTCCATGATGTTGAGATCAGGGCTCTGTGGATTCCAAACCATCACTTCCAGGACTCTCTATCTTTGCTGAAGATACTGTAATTCCAAATATCATTGTCTGTATGTTTGGGGTTGTTGTCCTGCTGCAGAATAAATTTGAGGCCAGTCACAGGCCTCCCCGATGGTATGTTATGATGGATAAATTGCATCTGCCTGTGTTTCTCAGCATTGAGGACACCATTTATCCTGATCAAATCTCCAACATTTGCAGAAATACAGCCCCAAATTTGCAAGGAACCTACACCTTGCTTCACTTTTGCCTGCAGACACTCATTATTGTACCGCTCTCCAGCCCTTCGGCAAGAAAACCTGCCTCCTGCTACAGCCAATTATTTCAGATTTTGACTCCTCAGTCCAGGCAACCTGCTGCCATTCTTCTGCATTCCAGTTCCTGTGTTTTTGTGCATAGTTGAGTCATTTAGCTTTGTTTCCACATTGGAGATGAGGCTTTTTGACAGTAATTCTTCCATGAAGACCACTTCTGGTCAGACTTCTCCATACAGTAGATGGCAGTCCCACTGGTTTTTTTTTTGCCATTTCTGTGCTGATGGCACTGCTGAATATCTTCCAATGTCAAAGGGAAGTAAGCATGATGCATCTTCCATCTGCTGCATTAAATTTCCTTGGCCGACCACTGCATCTATGGTCTGCAACGTTGTCCATTTTTTGTGCTTTTTCAAAAGAGCTTGAACAGCACATTTTGAATCCCCAGTCTGCTTTGAAATCTTTTCTTAGGAGAGACCTTGCTGTTGCAGTATAACTACCTTGTGTCTTGTTGCCATACCATGGTGTATGGCCTGTGACATGAAATTGTATTCCACAATCTCACCTTAGTAGCAGAGTTTGGCTGTTCTTCAATCAGTTTTAAACCTCCTACACAGCTTTATGTTTCAGTTAATGACTGTGCTTCAAGCTACATATGAAATTGATGATTATTAGCCCCTGCTTGGTATAATTGGTTAATCATACATCGGACTCTAATCCTACGAAATCCCTGACTTTGTTTAAGAATTGATGCTCGTTTGAAGCCAAATATTGATTTGATTTAGATTTTACTTCTGTTTGCTCACTTTGCATTTTGTAAATTGATAAAAATTAACAACTAAAATATATATTTTTGAAAGCATTCTTACTCTGCAGCATTTCTTCACACCTACATAAAAGTTTTGTACAATTCTGTATATGGCCCGAAAATCTAAAACAAGTTCAGCCATTCAGCCATATCTAAATACTCATAATCTGGAAAATTATCTTTTTATTTGTTCTTGGCTTTAAAATAAACTTTAGGCAACTGTGTAATTTATTTTACAATCGCTGACCCCCGAAGGCATGGTTTACTCCCACTAATGCTGGGACATTTTCTTCTCCCCCTGACCATAGTCTAGCCCCCATAAAGTCTGGAGGACAGTAAACTGTCCCTTTTTTTTACTCTTTTCTCTCTCTGTTGAGTTCGGAGTGGACCCTTTGCATCCTGACAATGCAGGACTGCTGGTCCTTTAACATATGCGATAATGTCAAAGTGCCTATGGCTGACGGAGCAGAACAGCAAAGAGAAGCCGCTTCCCTAGAACAAACAGGCATTTAGTATAATATTTTTTTTAATTTTCCCAGATTTCAGTTTTAAAGAAGCAGTGTTGGGAAGACACATTCTGTTTGCATAATAAATCTTGCTGAAAAAACGTATTGCAGATCAATGCTTTTTTTTTTTTGTCCTCATCTTGAGTTATATCTTCTGTTTTAGCTTTGAATTTCCTTCCTATCGATTGTGTCATTTCCCTTGTGATCATCAAAGTTATCTCAGAGCAGTTTTTCTCATGTATGAATTATGCTTGTCAGCTATGCTGTGTCTTCATGTCCTAGGACATTGAACTATTTGTATAAATATAGTATGGAGGCCTCATGCTGACCACTGGGGTTTTATGCGAAGTTAAAATGTTATATGTAGCTGCTTAAATAGAACATCATGAAAAGTATGAGGTCTCTTGATGAGAACAGCCAATGGAATGCATCCTGATCCAGTTTTCTTTTTTAAATTTTAATCTTACTCAGGCAATTTACAAGATGGTCTCCTCCGTAATGAAAATGCCAGAAGACGAGTCAACGCCTGAGAAGAGAACAGAGAAAATCTTCCGACAAATGGACACCAATCGAGATGGTATGTACTAGTCCTAGGATGAGACATTATAGGTACCAATCTAACCAGGACTAGCCTGTTCAGCACTATAGTAATCCGTACTGTCACTGGGCCCCTTGTGGATTCCCTGTATTGGAAGTATCCAGTTTTATTGTTATTATTATAATACAGGATTTATATGGCACCATCAGTTTGCTCAGCACTTTACAATATAAAGGGAGACAATACAGCAATGATATAGTTCGATACATCAGGGTTTGGAGGGCCCTACTCCTTGGACCTTGCAATCTAAGAGGGAAGGGCTGGTGGTACAAGAGGTAATAACTGTGGGGGATGAACTGATAGGAGAAATAGAAGATCGGTTATAAGCTGAAGGCAGTATAGGCTTCCCTGAAGAGATAGGTTTTCAGGGATCACCTAAAAGTGGGCAGAGCAGGCAATAGTTGGATAGATTGGAGTAGAAAGTTCCAGAGCATGGGGGAGGCTCTGGAGGACAAGCATGGTAAGAGGAGACAAGGGAGCTAGAGAGCAGGAGGTCATGAGAGGAACGGAGAGGACGGTTTGGGTGATATTTGGAGACAAGAATTGGTGATGTAATTTGGAGCAGTTATAAATGGCTTTTATATGTTATGGTTTTGATTTTTATTTGTTGGGCAATGGGAAGCCAGTGGAGGGATTGGCAGAGAGGGATGGCAGTTATGGAACAGTTGGTAAGGTGGATGAGTCTGGCAGCAGCATTCATGATAGACTGAAGAGGGGATAGCCTGCAATTAGGTAGGCCAATGAGGAGGGAATTACAATAGTCAAGGCAAGAGATAACAAGTGAATAAGTTGCTTAGTGGTTTCGGTGGTTAAAAACGGGCGTATCTTGGAGATGTTGCGAAAGTGAAGTCTACAAAATTTGGACAGTTATTGGATTTGGGGCTGAAAAGACAGTTGGGAGTCCACGATTACACCTAGTACCCTGGCATGAGGGGAGGGACTGATGGTTGTATTATTGATCTTGATGAGAAGTCAGGGGAGGGGGCATGGGCTGGAGGGAATAGTATGAGCTCAGTTTTAGAAAGATTTAGTTTGAGGAGTGGAGTGACATCCAAGCCGATATGTCACTTAGTAGGTTAGTAATATACCAGGAGACTGAAGGGGTGAGGTGAGGAGTAGAAAGATAGATTTGTGTGTCATCATATCACGACTCGATTACTGCAACTCCCTCCTCACTGGCCTCCCTCACCACAGGCTGTCGCAGGGATCACATGGTTGGTAAGCCATCCATCAGCTCCTGATTGTAAGCTGTGAACAGGATTTGTCAGTGACAGCGTGGTCACAGTGCTGGGGGTGTTAAGTGAGATCACTCTCAGTTCAGAACAGTGACACAAACTGTATGTAATGTAAATGGCAGCTGAGAGTTAAAGGCATAGTTCACCTTTACCAAAAAACAAAGTATGCAGGTAGGGGATGTCTGTAGATAAAAACAGACTGTTCAGCTTTGACCAAAGTTGAATAATGCCCATGCTATAGTTGTACTTCTGAAGCCTGACTGAAAAAAATCCCAAAGATTGCATTATTCCATTCTGCCTTGCAGCTAGGACGCTGCTAAGAGACTCCCAGCACTTACTGCACACCTTCCCCCATCACAGGAGTGAGCTCTTTCTCTGATTCAAACCCCCTCAGGTGTGCTTTCTCTCCCCTAATACAGTAACTCTGAGCTCTCCATTTGAGAGCTCACTCCTGTGATGGTGGAGGTGAACAGTAACAACTGGGAATCTCTTGACATCATCCCATCCTATCTTGTTGCTAGGATAGGATGTTGCTATCTCTGAGTTTTTCATTCTGGATTCAGGAGGTCCGTAAATGGCCTATATAGCAAGATCACTTTTCAACTTTGGTCACAGCTGCACAGTTTTGTTTTTATCTGAAGACACCCCTAACCTGCATAGGTAGTTTTTTTTTGTTTTTTTTTGGTAAAGATGAACTATGCCTTTAAAGTCCACTAACATGCTGCCACATGTATGCATGCAGCCAGCGTTAGGGGGTTAAACAAGAGCTCCTGAAAGTACCATTGTATTTCTAGCACAGTCATAGAGGAAAATGTTTTAAATCCTTGTGGACTTTCCTCTTCCAGTAGAGGCAATTCACACATTCCCTGCACACCATGGTTCTTCTCACTTAGCCGGTGATTGGTGTAATATACTCAGTTCCCTCAACTCCTAAGAATAGTCAGTGGCTGCAATAGGATATGATCTAATCCTTTGCTGCAGATCTGGGTGTGTACTGTTGATCCTCCTACGGAAATCCATGTGGTTAAATTATTTGTTTTTGAAACGAAACCCAGGGTAAGTCATAGATTGTAATCTCAGCAAGAGCCATGAATCAAAGTTTCTGAAAAGGAATGTCTGTTTACTGGCACACATGACATCGGTGTGAGAAAAAGCATTCAATAGCTATCCAGGATATTTTATTAGCAATAAAAACACAAACTCATGAAATCATGCAACATTTCTCTTTTGAGGTGTTGCCAATGTATATATACTTAACGTGAACTTATCTAAAACCTAAATATTTCAAACTGAGTACATGATCAAAAAATAAATGGACAGAGATTACCATAATTGGAAACCAAGTGTCAAACATATCTGTAAATCCAGAGATCAAGGCAGCTATGAAAATTGAACTCTTCCACCTCTATATCAGTATTAACATGGTGATCACATGGTTATGCCATACTCCAAAATACCATTGGAGGTCACCATAAGTACTGCTACCCACAGGAATGAATGTGGCCAGGACCATGTCAGAGGACAGTTTGCTGCTGGATTGGATAGAAAGGTAAATAATATCCCAGGGGGTGGGGATAATTAAAGGTCAACTTTAATGATGAAGTTGTCTTTTAAAGCTCATTGCACTACATTAACATTGTTTCAAGAACAATAATTGAATCTGTTTTAGTTTACCAGTCCTTAGATGTGTTGACTGTAGTTCTTTTCGCCTTCTATCTTTTTTCCTTTATTTTATCCTGGTGATCCTGCCAATAAGATATTTCTTGTCCAGGGGTGACAGCCCTTACAGCACTGCATTTATAGAGGAGCAGCATTATCTCACTAGGTTGCTTGCTTCTGGGTTGGTATACAGAAGGCCTTCCTTCTCCCTGTCTCCATCTTTTTGTAGTCCACAGAGAGAACTGGGCAGGGCTGATAACAATGCTTGAGACTTCAGTGCCAATACATTTTGCATTAATTGAACAAAAATAACGCTTTTAGTGGTACAGTACATCCAGAAAGTATTCACAGCACTTAACTTTTGCCATATTTTTTTTATGTTACAGCCTTCTCCCAAAATGGATTAAATTCATTTTTTTTTCTCAACATTCTACAAACAATACCCCATAATGACAAGATGAAAGAAACTCGTTTTGAAATCTTTGCAATTTATTAAAAATAAAAAAATTGAAAAAAAACACATGTACATAAGTATTCACATCCTTTGCCACGACACTCAAAATTGAGCTCTGGCGCATCCTGTTCCCACTGATCATCCTTGAGACGTTTCCACAACTTGATTGGAGTCCACCTGTGGGAAAATCAGTTGATTGGACATGATTAGGAAAGGCATAAACCTGTCTATATCACGTCCTAGAGTTAACAGTGCATGTCAAAGCACAAACCAAGCCATGAAGTCCAAGGAATTCTCCGTAGACCTCCGAGACAGGATTGTATCAAGGCACAGATCTGGGGAAGGGTTCAGAAAAATTTCTGCAGCATTGAAGGTCCCAATAAGCACAGTGGCCTCCATCTGTAAATGGAAACACCAGCAATCTTCCTAGAGCGGGCCGCCCGGCCAAAATGAGCAATCGAGGGAGAAGGATCTTAGCCAGGGAGGTAACCAAGCACCCGATGGTCACTCTGAAAAAGCTTCAGCGTTTCTCTGTGGAGAGAGGAGAACCTTCCAGAAGAACAACCATCTCTGCAGCACTTCACAAATCAGGCCACTCCTCAGTAAAAGGCAAATGGCAGCCCGCATGGAGTTTGCCAAAAGGCACCTGGGGGACTCTCAGACCATGAGAAACAAAACTCTCTTGTCTGATGAAACAAAGCTTGAACTCTTTGGCCTGAATGCCAAGCGTCATGTCTGGAGGAAACCAGGCACCGCTCACCACCTGGCCAATGCCATCCCTACAGTGAAGCATGGTGGTGGCAGCATTATGCTGTGGGGATGGTTTTCAGCGGCAGGAACTGGGAGACTAGTCAGGATCGAAGGAAAGATGAATGCAGCAATGTATAGAGACATCCTTGATGAAAACCTGTTCTAGAGCGCTCTGGACCTTCGACTGTGGCGACGGTTCATCTTTCAACAGGACAACGACCCTAAGCACACAGCCCACATAACAAAGGAGTGGCTATGGGCCAGCTCTGTGTATGTCCTGGAGTGGCCCAGCCAGAGCCCAGACTTGAACCCAATTGAACATATCTGGAGACATCTGAAAATGTTTGTGCACCGACACTCCCCATCCAACCTGATGGAGCTTGAGAGGTACTGCAAATAAGAATGAGAGAAATTGCCCAAATATAGGTGTTCCAAGCTTGTAGCATCATACTGAAAGCCACTTGAGGCTGTAATTGGTGCTTCAACAAAGTATTGAGCAAAGGCTGTGAATACTTATGTACATGTGTTTGTTTTTTTTTTTTAATAAATTGCAAAGATTGCAAAACTAGCTTTCACCATGTCATTATGGGGTATTGTTTTGTAGAATGTTGAAGAAAAAAAATTAATTTAATCCATTTTGGAATAAGGCTGTAACATAACAAAATGTGGAAAAAGTTAAGTGCTGTGATTACTTTATGGATGCAGTGTACATTAACAAATCATTTATATTTGATTCCTTGTAGTCTTTTTAAAGGACCAGTTCACCTTTGTAACATGTTACATGTTCCACCCGTTTTTAGGATGTAAAACATAACATGTTCCTGTAGCCGCAGCCGTGGCTCTGCCCACATGGACATGTCACTCATTCACAGTGTTCTGTGAATGAGTGCCTACAAGTCCCAATAGCCTTAGCGGCTGTGGGGCTTGTAGCTTCTTGTCAGAATATCTGCTTGCTGTATGGTCAAACAGATACACTGACAACTCTGCAGGAGACCTGCATGGCATCAGCGATCTACTGATCATTGGTGCAATGCTTTACATGCTCCTTTGGACAAAAATAATAAATGCACATTTTTTTTACTTGCAATTTTTTTATCTTTGTCCAAAAGGTGAACTTATCCTTTAAGGTTTACCTATTAAAGTGGACATTTCAAGCCAAATGGAAGGCCTTCCCCAACACTATTGGCATTGAAAAGCCATTTGTAAACAAACAGATCGATCTTTGAAAAAAATAATTATTTCCCTTGGCTCCAGGATTTGATGCTTCTGGGAAGCATGGGTAATGTCAATGTATCTTCCTGAAGACCTAGCATCTGGAAATTCCATGATCATGTACTCCAACTCATTGCAAGAGTGCATTCTGGTTTGATTCAAAGCCCCTAGCTAACCCAGGAAGCAACAGTGAGGCATGGTGAAGTCAACTGAAACACTGGAGGCCGAAGCCAATGTCATTTTGTTTTTTAACAGAATATACACTCACTGTCCACTTTATTAGGTACACCTTGCTAGTGCCAAGAAAATATCCTGCACACCATTCCATCACCTTCTCCCCGCCAGAAATGTTGATACAAGGCAGGATGGATCCATGCTTTCATGTTATTTATGCCGAATTCTGACCCTACAATTTGAATGTCGCAGCAACTACTCTGCCCATTCTCCACCTCTGACATCAACAAGGCATTTTTGTCCACACAACTGTCCACAAAACTGCCGCTCAACAGATATTTTCCTTTTTTTTTGGACCTTTCTCTGTAAATCCTAGAAATGGTTGTGCGTGCAAATCCCAGTAGATCAGAAGTTTTTTAAATACTCAAACTAGCTTGTCTGGCCCCACAGCAACCATGCAAGAACGTTCAAAGTCACTTAAATCCCAGTTCTTTCCCTTTCTGATGCTCCATTTGAACTTCAGCAAGCTTTCTTCACCACATTGCTACATGCCTAAATGCATTGAGTTGCTGCCATAATGATTGGCTGATTAGCAATTTGTGTTACCAAGAATTGAAAAGGTGTACCTAATGAAGTGGCCGGTGAATGTATTTGTTTATAAATTACCTTTTAAAGCCATATGTGTTAAAGAGTGGGAAGCTTTCAAAAAAGTGGACCTTGTGTTTTGTATGGAAAGTCCTCTTTAATTTTGACTTTTTCTTTAGCTCCAATGCATTTTGCTAATATGACCTGGTACAGGCAAAATTTCAACAAAGTAAAAACTAAATTTTGCCAGTCTCTGAGCAAAACCAACTTAATTTGCATATAACTTCGGCTTCCTGTATTTCTGATCATTTATGAAATGTATTTCCCCCTACATTTCTCCTCTGTGCATGTTTTTTGTTATTTTCTGACATGGATTGCAAAGGTTTTCACAAGTTACCTTTTTATATGGTAGCCTGGGGTTTAGGTTAAAGTGTTGGATGACTTGGTCATTTCAGACTGCTGTTTTTAATTCAGGAATAACTTTGAATTCTGTTTTTCCACAGGAAAACTGTCGCTGGAGGAGTTTATCAGGGGAGCAAAAAGTGACCCATCTATCGTCCGCCTACTTCAGTGTGACCCAAGCAGTGCCGGACAATTCTGAACTTTTATTTTTTTTAATAAAACCTTTTTTTGCCAAAATTAAATTTTGTTGTTGTGGTGTTGACACGTCACAGCCAAACCTACCTATCTCCTCCTGTGGTATCTTTACATTTGAATGACAAAGAATGATAAATATTGCGGCTGGACGTTTACTGTTCTATGACGCTTGGGTTTCCTTCACGCTTTTCTATGTGGGATAACAACAGAGACCTCCCTCCAGACCTGAATTTTTTTATTTTTACAAAGCTGATCAACAAATTTGACATGGCTGCAGTGAAGACTTAGTTTTATTACTTGTAGTTGCTTTAATCAGTTTTGCTGTTGGAAGAGTGTGAGCATTCACCTTGGTCAACTGAAGACTGCTAAGATTCACGTTGTGGTCATGCTTGTAAGCTGCACCATTGTTGTGCAGTTTTTGGGGTTTTTTTTTTTATGAGTATTACTAAAGTGGACTTGTCACCATGTCCACAGAGGAGGTAGAGGCATTATGTCTTGTGGACCACTGGTCAGCCTGGTGGATTACCAGAAGCTTGTGTCATCCTCCAGATTTGGACATGATATGATGTCATAAAACTGATAATGCCTCAGGGATATTGTCAGTTCTTAAAGCTGAAATTTCAGGCAAACCACTAAATACACAGATTAAATACATACAATCCAGCTGTTTTACCTGCCAAAGGATTTGTTTTTCTGTCCATCTAGTTTTGAGATTCACACAGCTCTCCATAACACCGCCCTGTTCAGCAAGACAGAAGACCAAATTTTTCTTATTACAGTTCAATAACACTTAAAGGTCTTGTGCTTCTCACAACCTGTAAATGTACAGTGAAAGGAGAAGCAGAAGACTGATGATGTCTCTTTCACCCTGCTCCCCTCCTATCAGCATGCTTCTTGCACAGCACAACTGTTCAGCTCCATGGCTGCTTCGTCCTCCCTCCGTGTGAGTTCTGCTGTATAAAGTTTTGCAAGAGGCTGATACTAAGTTTATTTCCATTTCTTACACTGCTTGTAATAATAAAAGATACATCTACTGGTGTGTTAATGAATACAGAACTGCATTAATTTGTGTATTTTTTATCTGCCTGAGGTTCAGCTTTAATAAATGAATAGCCTGAAAATTGTGAACATCATGCTTATATCCATGACTGCAAGTGATAAAACAAATACCTCCCAACCATCCCCATTTTGTGGGTGCCACAGTGGGAATGCTTTTACCCATTTAAGAGGAGGTTAAGCATGATTTGGGATGGTTGGCAAAAGGACATAATGTCCCTATTTTTAAATTTTTAATGTCGGGAGGTATATATATATACATACAGTATACTGTGTTGTAATTGCAATAAGACATTTGCAAGCATTGCCAAAAATATGCATGGATTATTAGAAATATTGGTGCAAATTGCTGCAGTTTTGTGAGAGTCAGTTTCATTTCATGCTCCCCCCCCCCCCCGCCACTCACCTATTGATGTGCTATGACTAATTTGGACGTGAGTGTTTTATTGTTCAGTAATTGGTTATGTTATGACGACATGTTCATTCTCACTTAATTTACAGAAATGCCTCATTAAAAAGAATGCCACACATGATATCCCATTCATTCATTTAAAGAGAGATAATCACTAATGGTCATTTTGAGAATTAAATCTGTCCATCTATTGCCTACAAATGGGCTTCTTTAAGGAAACACATGGTGCACAGAATAGTCAGATACCAGCCACTAAAATCAACAGACCTTATGAACCTAAATGAAGAGGTGTTCTTGTAACCTATGGCAACAACTCAAAATTCCCACTACACTATTGGACAATTAATATGAGAATCTGGCTGCTATGGTAAGTTTTTGAAGGCAGGTGTGTTGTGACTATAGTGACCACCCATGTCAGGATAGAGCAGAGCGAGGAGGTAAGTGTAAATAGTCATTTATAAAAGGGGTTAAGATGACTGTGTTACTGATTTGCTTTTGGGAGTTTATTTTGGATTTCTAAAAAGGTGGTATGTAGTATGAATCTGATTAGTATTTGTGAGCAACAAAGACAGTCTTTAGTCTTGGCAACAAAAAAAAAAAAAAAAAACTCCCTGTCAATCAGAGCATTTCTTATGCTGTTTAATTGACTGCTGTCCCACCAGCCTCGTGTGTGTGTGTGTGTGTGTGTGTGTGTGTGTGTGTGTGTGTGTGTGCGTGATGGATCAGTACTCTGAGACTGAAAGAGCAATACGGGTCAGTACTGCGAGAATGAGAGAACCGTGTGCAAGCATAAGGATTGGTAATGCATGTATGTGCCAGTATGAATCGGTACTGTCTGTGTGGGGTTGTCTGGCTCAGTTTTACTGGTATATTTACTTTGTGTTTGTGAACTTGTGTAAATATGTCAGTAAAATAAGAGTGGGAAATACTGGTCACCATTGGGACCGACTGTATTCTAACTTTTTCAGCTGGCTACTAGATTTCTACAAGATTTGTCCAGGCCTGATGTAGTTCAAAAACTGTGGTAATAATGTGATTGCTTCTGCAAAGTCTTGTAAGGACTGTGGATCATGTCTCCACTATATGAATTAACTCGCATACAAATATAGCCACCCAGAAGAGCTAAGGATTCTTTTTGTAAAACTTATTGTCAGTTTCATAAATGAACAGTGGTAAATGAAATGTCGCCCCCCCCCCCCCCCCCTGCACTGCAATTCTGGCAAAACTTTGAAACCATCCTATTCCCAGTCCCCGGTCTTAAGACCGAAGTTTAGGCCCCATTCACACTAGGGCTTTTCATTCTTCTGCCTTTCCTTTCATTCATAAATCACGTTCCATTGATGGAAGCTGTAATACAGCTTCTATGAATGGAGGAGGTGAGCGAAAAGGGTGGGTATAGTTAGTAGTCTTGACAAGTGCATATGGCAGGTTCCTCTGCTTGTTCCCCTGCAGAATCAGAGGATTATCGCTGCAGAGTTAGAAGTGGAGCAGACAACTTCAGATTTTAACTAAAGTCATCCCTTGTGCTGATTTATAAAAAAAAAATAAGTAAATGTAAGCTTTAAGCTAGGTCCAGTAAGGGTATTTAGACCTCCACATCTGTAAACTGTAAAAAAAAAAAAAAAAAGTATTTGTGCCTCAATGAGCTTGTATAGATGGGCAAATGCAGCATATTGTCAGATTCATTTTCGCCTGTGAGATTCTTCCAAGTTCCTTCTGAACTGCTTCTGACATCCTTCTAAGTTTGTTGCAGTTGTGAAGCAAACACATATCTGGGTACACAAACCATAGTTAGGGTGACCATAGATTGATGGATGAGTAGATATTCTTCAAAAAACCAGGACCCAGTGTAGGGAAAGACTAGGTATTCGTCCTGTAGCACAAGAATTTCCATCTTTATAGAAGCCTGTTTTTTTGGGCTCTACTGTGGCTCTGAAAGGCCAGATGCTCACCTAAGTGTCACGTTGGGCTATTGAATCAATTGCGTAATCAGGCTGTTTATGACTACTCTAAAGGTTGTCTTCTGAGACAAGGGTAAACCTTTGGCTTCTGAAGAGTTCAGAAGTACCCTGACTGGTTATTATTGGATACTGGCAACATTTTGTAAGTGCACTATTCTTTTAACTAAACCCATTTGTGCATATTTTTATTTCTCTTCCAAACCTGCTCTCTCTCGTATTGGGACAGTTACCTCGTATAATTGTGCTCTATACTGTGTAGTACCAGCCTGTACTTTTTTCTAGTTAACCCTTTCTAAGTAGTGTACCCCACCTTGTACAGCTGTAACTTTTAGTGTAATTTGAAGAATTTGTAAGCGTCTTGTGAATTTGGTTCAATTAATTCCTAAAACAAATGACTGTGGTTTTATGTTTCGCCAAGAGGAATGGACAGTCGTAGTCCATACGGAGCATGATTTGTTTGAGAAAACTCACTTTCTGTTAATTGTTATCTATAAACCATAAGCTTTAAAGTAATAAAATGACACAAAATCAGCAGAATTCTTCCAGACCGAGATGTGAACTCTACATTATCCTGATCCCCCCGACTTTTTTTCTTTTCATTTTTTTTTGTCTATTTTGCTTATCACTGTAACGGATCTTTCACTGTCAAAACAATTCTACTGCAGTTTTAATGCATGACATATCATTTTCCAAACTGTGAATATTTCTGGTATGCAAAAACAATGTGGTTTGAAGTTTACATAAATGATGTTACTTTTAGATGTTTTTTTTCTTAAGTAAATAAATATTAATTAAAAAAAAGTTTGTAGATGTTTCTTTAGTATGCATCATAATGCATTTAAAAGCATATTAACAAAAAAATACAGCTTAGCCTAAGTGCCATTATTTTATAACATGTCTACAGTTTCAAATCATTCCAGGCAGAGATGCTGATACTGAGCCAATGGATTCTATCCAATCGTTAGCATAACTGTTGTAGGGCACTAAGGCTCTCTATTTTCCACATTATAACATATAGGCTTAGGGCCCTGTTTCCTGTTGTACCAAATTGTATTGTAACTGTAATTTCTACCTTTATTTTGTAAAGTGCTGTGCAAACTGTTGGTGCTATATAAATCCTGTATAATAATAATAACTTCACAAAGCTTTAACAAAATAACTATCTTTATTTCTCTTCCATTCATTGACAGACATAGCTTTTCTGAATCTTGACCATGGGGTTATAGTGCCACTGACAGGAGTAGGACACTAGGCAGAAAAGAACACAGGTGTTGGAACCTAGTGCCTTAAACAAGCCACTTTATAAATTTGGATGGGACAGTCTGATCCAGCAGCGGGCACAGGACTAGCAAATGGTGGCTGGATGTCCTTCCCTCTGACAGTGTTGGTTTGCATAAGCCTCGTTGAGGTGGGTGGACTGTGTAACACCTGCTTTGCTGGTCCAGCTCCATGGTTTGGCGTTAAGGTTGGTGGGCACTGGATCCCCCCTTCTCCATCCCTATAGTTTAGGGATGCTGTTACAAAATTGAGAGGTTAAGTCCCCTGGCTCTGTGCCATGAAAGAAACTGGTGTGGG